CTATAATGAAATCAATAAAGATGGATTAAGCCTCAGTGGAAGAAAAATTATGATAGATTTGTAGAGCTTCTGAATATGAACGTCCAGGGTCTTGTTCTGTTTACACGGCACAGGATATTGGGGGCAGCTTTCACTGGGGTGATACTTTTGTTATTTCCACTCCATCTGTTCCCCTGCAAAGTAACATATTTTAGAAAACCTCAGAAGAATGTTTCCAGACGCTATGGAAGGAGAAGAAACTGCGCCTATTTTCATTCTGCAGGGCAGTGGGGAAGCAGAAGGGATACTGAAGCATGTGGGTGGTGGGTGGTACCTGAGACCTTCAGGTCTGAACAGGAGGATTCATAGTATAAAAACACAGTATTCCTAATTGAGACAGTGCCATTCAAAACCCTGAGGGATACCACGGAGAATAAGAAAGGATTCATCACATGACAGGAAGACGGAATGGCTAGATTACTTTCACATGCAAAGCACCTCGGCAGCACCCTCCTGTGCCTTCCCGCAGCCTCGGGGTAAGATGTCCCTCTGGTGGCCCAGCACCCCCATCCTCATGATCTCTCTGGCCCCTTGCCTCATCGTCCAGTGCTTTCCAGGACTGACTTTGTTCGCAGCGTCTGAACCTGCCCACCTCTCTCATCCTAAACCAGCCCTTTTAGGGCCGCCGTCCTGTTTAGTTTCCCTCCTTGTCAGCTGCATTGAGAAATCAACTCTCTCTTCTTACTGTCTCTCTCCCTGTGTCCCCATAACTGCCTAATCTTATGTTTCCTTTTGCCAAGACCCCAACTAAGCTCCATGTTGTAAAATTGAGTCCCTTTAAAGTAGACCTTGGCATGAGGTGGAGGGCGGTTTGAATCTCGGTTCTGCTATAAACTAATCGAGTGACATCAGACAAGTTACTTGACCCCCCGAGCCTTACACCATAAAATGGGATGGTCATAGCTTCTTTTATGATAAAGACTGCTGTGACGAAGTGTATAATAGACAGACAATAAAGCATGCAAGGCATGGTGCCAGCCCGCAGGGGATGCTGTGTGCCGGAGAGCTGCTGCTCCTCCTTCAGGGCAGCAGGTGTGGTTCCTGCCACGACACCTGTGCTGGCTCCGCGTCTGTCGACCTGCAGTCCTCCTTGTGCCCCACCCCTCGGCTCCCTGTTTGTACGCCGTAGCTTTGTTTCTGACCCAGCCTGCAGTGCTCAGCCTCCTTCCCGGCCTTCCTGGCCTCCTTGGGCTTTTCCCACTTCTGAGTCCTTGGCCTCCTGTTCTTGCCACCACTTTGCCGGCCACACTCACAGTTGTGATTTCGTGCTCTCTGCCCTAATGCCTGCTGACATGATCACTGGGATGCCCAGGGTCCCCTTCACGCATAGCATGTTAAAAGCCCCGTCAGCCCTGGCCAGGTGGCTCCGTTGGTCAGAGTACCGTCCTGTACACCAAAGGGATGTGGGTTCGGTCCCCGTTCATGGTGCGTCTGGGAGGCAACTGATCGATGTTTCTCTCTCTCCATATCAGCTTGTGAAATGGCTTTCCTGCTGCCAGCGTGGAAGAGAAAGGAAGGGGCGGGCAGGTGAGGGGTTTCCTATAGACTTTCTGTACATTTTCCTGCGGAGAGACCAGGCAACACACCCTGGAGGAAGAGTGCATCCTTCCCTACCAGCGGCCCATGAGGCCTTTCTCAGGACCCCAGCGCAGAGTGGGAGCCTCGGGGTGCTCGCCCTCGGGGTCCCACGCTGCCCTCCTTGTCTTCTCTCCGGGAGCTGGACATGGCGGTGTCTCACATGACACTTTTCCATTCTTCTGGCTTGTCCTTGCCTCTTTTTCCAGCATATTTTCTTCCGAATTCAGTGTTTATTCTCAGAACTTTTACTACTGCCTTTCATATTTCTATCACCTGTCTTCTCACTATGCGTTTATCGTCCTCATTTTATCCCATCCCTCACTTTCACCTCCTCATCAGCAAAGAATCAAAGGAACAACTGTAAACAAAACGTGTAAAGGGTCAGTGTCATCAGACAACTTCCCCTGCATTTGGGTACTTCCACTTAACAAATGGGAAGGAATTTTGTGTTAGTGCCATAGACCACAAGTTAGAGAATGACAGTGGTCCTGAAGGAGCTGCGCCTTCCTTATCTTGATCTTCGTAGGGCAGGACGGTGCCAGGCAGATCATAAAGAGGTCGGTGATAGTTTGCTGTCCAGCCAGCTTGAATGAATAAGTATTAGTCTGATGCTATTGACTTGTTTCCCCTGCTCCCTCTTTCATGCCCCTGTCTGCCTCTTTCTTTTCAAACACTGTTATCGGTACTTTATTTTATAATCCTGACATAAATGACAGTCTTGGCAGATTTGATATGACTAAAAATACCAGCTGAATAATGTGCTTGTGCTTCTTGAGGTCAGACACTGCATTTGTGAAAAGTTGATTCTCAGAGTCTAAATGAGTTATTAGCTGTGAGCACAGTTGCCCTCTGTACCAGCTCTAAAACGCTCCCATTGACGGATTGCCTCCCAAGGGTTGCTTTGGATGCAGAAAGAGCCACCTAAGAGAGGTCACTCCCAGGAGGCTTGAATGCCAGACTATCCGGAGAGCCCCTAGGCTTCGGAGGAGTGTGGCCAGCAAAGTATAAAAGAAATCGTTTAAAAATTATCTTTCAAGATTAGCAGTAGCATTATTGTTTTTCTGATTTCACAAACAATGTGTACTTGCTCTAGAAAACTCAAACATAGTAGAAAGGTTTAAAAATGAAAATTATCCACTTTCTTGCTATCTGTCCTTTTTAGGGTGTTTTCATCTATACCTTTGCATATAAGATATCAAATATTTTTAAAAGATTATTTTAAAATGTTATTTTATTACCTGCTTTAAAAAAGTCTAACCTAACACCAGATATCTATCTGTGTAACAAGTACAGTCTACATCATTGTTTCAGTGGTTGCATGGTATCCTGTTGTGAGGTTATTCCATAACCTTCCAACCAACTGCATTTAGGTTTTTTTTTTAGTATTGTAAAATAAAGAATATTCTAATTCAGGTCTGTTCTAGGTAGCTTGTATTGGACAGATAAATTAATCACCTTTGGAATTCATGGCTACTACAAAAGGGTAGTGTCGAACTTGATCTCTTGGGTATCATATTTAAGGTTAATTTAAAAACATTTTTTTTTCTTTATTGATTTTAGAGAGAGGGAGTGAGAGAGATAGAAACATCGATAAGAGAGAACATCAATTGGCTGCCTCCCGCATGCCCCTCACTGGGGATTTGGCCCACAACCTGGGCATGTGTCCTGACCAGGAATCGAACTGGCGACCTCTTGGTGCATGGGTCGATGCTCAACCACTGAGCCACACTGGCCGGGCTAAGTTTAGTTTTGATTACCTTTATGGTTTTATGCTTTCTATGGCAGAGGAGGTATAGACAGTGGTTAAGGGCATGGCCGCTATAATCAGAGTACTTGGATCCAAATTCCTTTATTCCACTTTATAGATATGTGACTTTGGGTGTGTTGTGTAACCTTGTTAAGTTTCTGCTTCCTAATTTTTGTTTTTAATCCTCACCCGAGGACATTTTTCCATCTTTTTGTAGACAGAGTAGGAGGGGGAGACAGAGACAGAGACAGAGACAGAGACAGAGACAGAGAAACATCAACATGAAAGGGACACATTGAGTAGCTGCCTCTCGCACGACCCCAACCAGGGCCAGGGACGAATTGCAACCGAGTTACATGCCCTTGACCAGAATTGAACCTGCGACTCGTTGGTCCACTAGCTGACACACTAACCACTTAGCCAAACTGGCCAGGGCCCTTTTTCTTTTTTTTAAATATGTTTTTACTGATCTTTTAGAGAGAGAGATAGACACATCGATGTGAGAGAAACATTAGTCGGCCGCCTCCTGCCGCCCTGCACTGGGGATAGAGCCCAAAATCTGGGCATGTGCCTTGACTAGGAATCGAACCAGGTCCTCTCGGGCCATGGGACGACACTCAGTCGACTGAGCCACACCAGCCAGGTGGTAGAGGTTTTCTTTTATATTCATTTTCCCACATAAGAAAAGTAAGTGAATGAAGACAAGATTAAAGATTTATTTTTATGGCCCTGGCTGGTTTGACTCAGCAGTTAGAGCATCGGCTGGAGGACCAAAGAGTCTCAGGTTCAATTCCTGGTCAAGGGCACGGATCTGGGTTGCAGGTTCAACCCCTGGCCCTGGTCGGGGTCGTGCAGGAGGCAACCAATCAATATGTCTCTCACAATTGATGTTTCTCTCTCTGTCTTCTTCCATTCCTTTTTCCCCTCCCTTTCACGTTCCAAAAAGCAATGGAAAAGCATCCTCAGATGAGGATTAACAACAACAAAAAAACCCAGAAAAGATGTATTCATATGAATCGTCACTATTTTTGTATGGGAGCTCAAACAAAATTGTTAAAAAAGCAGTAAGTAAAGGTTTTCTTAAACCCTTGCTTCTGTGATGTTGGATCACTCAAGATGTGAGTTCCGTAGGAGCCTTTGTTCCTAGAAGCCCGATCAGTTAGTGCTGAAGGAATAACAATTTATACTGACACAGACAGAAAGCATAGGCCACCTGGATGGATACATCTTACCTGTCTGGTACTTTGACACTTTTGAAGGGCAAGTCATCACATCCGTGGGGAAGTATTTTAAAAAACAAAATATCCTCTGTTTTTAAGTGTTTTTCTTTCCTCCAGTTATTTTGTTATTCCAAATAGTTAAAAAAATTCATTCCAAGTCAGAGTTCAAATTATTTTTGCCACCAAAATGTTCAGTTACCTCAGTGACTGGCAAAATGTGAAAAAAAACCCTGCCCCTCCCCATTTCAGAAAGCCCTTTCATTTCTTTCTCTTCAGAAAATTCTAATCAATAAATTAATTGCTGCTGGTCAGGGGTATTTCTCCAGTTACAAAAGCTCATTCCTTAAAATTTAGCATCTAAGAGAAGGTTAATTTGGGAGTTAATTATGGTTAGTATGCTATCGATAATTGTTCCCTGTTCATTATTTTTATAAAATGGCTCATTTGATTCATTAATGTTACTTGTTAGGATGAATAAGGAAAAGCATGCACTATTCCCAAAAGCGGCCAGAGGTGACCTCTGAAAATGGTTTGCTATTCACTTGACCCAGAAAACCCCACAAAATCATGCAAATCAAGAGGTTCAAATATTCGTGTTCACTTTAAGAACACTCAGGAAACTGCCCAGGCCACTGAGGGTATGCATATTCGAAAAGCCACCAAGTATTTGAAGGATGTCACTTTACAGAAGCAGTGTGTGCCTTTCCGTCGTTACAGTGGTGGAGTTGGTAGGTGTGCCCAGGCCAAACAGTGGGGCTGGACACAGGGTTGGTGGCCCAAAAAGAGTGCTGAGTTTTTGCTGTACATGCTTAAAAATGCAGCGAGCAATGCTGAACTCAAGGGTTTAGATGTAGGTTCTCTGGTCATTGAGCACAGCCAGGTAAACAGAGCTCCCAGGATGCGGTGTAGAACTCACAGAGCTCATGGGCGGATCAACCCACACACGAGCTCTCCCTGCCACACTGAGATGATCCTCACTGAGAAAGAGCAGATTGTCCCTAAACCAGAAGAGGAGGTTGCCCAGGGGAAAAAGATATTGCAGAAGAAACTGAAGAAACAAAAATTTATAGCCCAGGAGTAAATTCAGCATAAAATAAAGACTAATAAAAGGAAAAAAGAAAAACATGCATTGTAATTGTCCTACTTTCTAAATCATCCAGCATTCATTTATGTAGAATTGTTTGGTTTTTTTAAGAAAGCATTTTGACTTACACTCAAATGTTCATATCACCATTATTCATAATACCCGAAAGTGGAAATAACCCAAATATCCATGAACTGATGAATGGGTAAATAAAATGTGGTACATCCATACCATGTAATACTGTTTGGCAATAAAAAGAAATAAAGAACTGATATATATGCTACAACATGGAATAACTTTGAAAACATTATATGCTAAGTGAAATAAACCAGTCACAAAAGGCCGCATATTTATTAGTCCATTATATGAAATGTCAAGAGGGGCAAATCTGTGGTAACAAAGTAGATTTGTAGTTGCCTAGGGTAGGGGTGGGGGTTTGAAGGGCAAAGGGGTGCTCAGTCGGCCCATGAACTGAGGACCCGGTTCGATTCCTGGTCAGGGCACATGCCCAGGTTGTGGCCTTGATGCCCAGTAGGGGGCGTGCAGGAGGCAGCCGGTGGATGTATCTCTCTCACATCAGTGTTTCTGTCTGTCCCTTCCCCCTCTCTCTAAAAAATTAATAAAAACAATAATAATGAAAATTTTGTTAGTAATTCACTTGCCAATTTCATATAATATAATGGAAGAAACTGTAGAGGTGTACACAGCATGTTCAGTTAGATAGATAAATATAATACATAGTGAGTAAATGAGTTTAATATCTACTGAGGAAAATCCTCATCATCTCTTTGAAATTCTGTTCAGGTGAGAATGAATAAAGAACAAATTCTCTATTTTATAATTTGAAACTATCATTATGCTTATATTCCGGGGAGCAGATCTCAGAGTTTGCATATACTGACATTTTTCTTTAAAGTTTGAATGACTATTTGAAATAATCTGCTTTGTTTCATGAAGGAACTTATTATATTTTTGCTGTTTGATTTGGAGGTGACCTTGCTATGCATTGTCTCCAGGCCCCTTGTAGTATGATAGTTGCCATAAACCATAAAAGGCAGTTCAGGCAATGCAACTGTTATGCGGATTTGGGAAGTGAAGTCATTTTAATAAGTAATTTTGGTATATGAAGGGGAAATGAGAAATTATATTGCAGAGGGCTCAAGAAAATATTTGGGCTGTCCTCCACTTTGTGATGGAAGAAACATTCTTGACATAGGAGATGTGAGATTGTTTTGTGGAGTGTATTAGGGTAACACTCATCTTCAGAGTTGACAATGTTTATCCTGAAACATTTTAAGTTATTTTTAATTATTAAATGATTTGTGAATATTTTTTAAAATATTTTTTTAAATATTGTTTTAAACATCACAGCTAAAATCCCCTTTGATCACCACCCAGTCAATCCCATTTCTCTTCAGAGAGGAAATTACTGTTATTGATTTGGTCGATATTGTTCTCGGGCTTTGAGGTCTTTTTCTCTCTGTATTTCATATGTACATATATGTTCCCATAGAAATATAAAATTTGGATGTGTGATTTCTTAAAAAACAAATTCAACAACATAATAGTAGCAGTTTTTCCATTTAAAAGATATGTCTTAGCTTTTTACATCTGTAGGTACAGGGTTCTACACTTTTCTTAACTGCTGCAGAGCATTTGCTATATGAATGTACGATAAAAACCATGTAGATACCTAATTTAACCATTCCCCTAATTTTTGCTATTAAGAATTTTATTATGACTCAGCAATAAAATCCCAGTATATGACTTCTTACGAACATGCACATGGGAAGCTTTTCTCTAGGGTCGAAAACAAGAGAAGTAATTGCTAGGTGGAAGGTATGCCGATTTTCCATTTCCATCCTGCCCAGTCGTCCCCTCCGAGGTGCCAGTGGACCCTCCCACCACCACTTTCCCCGAGCGCTTGCCAACACTTGACATCATCAAACTTTGTGGTTAAAAAATGTCTCCTTGTTTTAGTTTACATTTGCATTTTCATGAGTATTCATGAGACTGAACAGATTTTCATGTTTAATGGCTCTTTAATTTCCTCTTATGCAAATTATTCTGCATATCCTTTGTCCAATTTTTAAATTTTGGATTATTTATTTTTTTCTTATTGATTGGTAGACATTCTTTATGTATTTTAGATATTAATGGTCTGTCTCATATGTGTTGTAAATCTTTTCTTTCTCTGTGGCTTGTCTTGAAACTTAATGGTATCTTTTGTCATGCAGAAGCTGTAAATTTAGATGTAGCCAAATTTATCTTTTTTTTGTGCTCAGAAGCCCCTCCATCTACCTGCTCACTACTGTTGCAGTCTTGAAAGTCTTACATTTTCATTTTGCACTGGACCCCACAAATTATGTAGTCGATCTTGCTTATATGTTATTTTAGGTTTAGGTCTTTAATTACTCTGGACTCTTTGTGTGTGTGAGCGACTTGTTGAAGAAGAGATTTTAATTTTTATAAATTGACAGCCAGTTATTTCAATACCATTTGTTGAGTAGTTAATGGAATGCCACTTTTATTATATTTTGAATTCTGTTTTATTCGTTGGACTGTCATGGGAGGCTGTGTTCTGTTCTATGAATATGATTATCTATTTCTGTACCAGTACCATCCTGTTTTAATTAGTATATCTTCACAATGTTTTTATTGATGTCTGGTAGGGCAAGACCTTTGTTCTTTCTTTTTGAGATGGCCTCAGCTATCTTGTATGTTTATGCATTTGCTTGAATTTTTTTATATCAGCATGTCCAATTCCTTGCAAATTCCATTTGGTATTTTGTTAGGGATTACATTACATTAAAAATTAATTTGGGGCCCTGGCCAGTTTGGCTCAGCGGTTAGAGCGTCGGCCTGCGGTCCGGAGAGACCCGGGTTCGGTTCCCGCTAAGGGCACGTACTTCGGTTGCAGTTTGTCCCTGGCCCTGGTTGGTCGTGCGGGTGGCAGCCACTCGATGTGTCCCTTCACATCAATGTTTCTCTCTCTCTCTCCCTTCCTCTCCCTCCCTCCCACTCTATCTGTACAAAAAGTGGAAAAATGTCCTTGGGTGAGGATTAAAAATAATAAATAAAAATAAAAATTAATTTGGGGAAAAATACAGTCTTTATAAATTAAGGCCTCCCATCCATTGACAAGATGTATCTCTTCTTTGATTACTTTATGTTCTTAAGTTAAGTTTTATATATTTTTTTCATAACAGTCTCATATGTCAGACATTTTCAAGTTGTTATTTTGAGTGGGATTTAGTTCTAAGTTTTTCTAATTGATCATTGCTAATGTATATAAAAGCTAATTAATTTCTGTTTTTCATCTTGTATTTGACCTTGCTGACATCCTTATAGATCTAATAGTTTGACAGTTGGTTCTCTTAACCTTATGTAGACAAATTTAAAAATCTGCAAATAATGACAATTTTGTGTCTTTTACACACACACACACACACACACACACACACACTCTCTCACACATATACATATATATCTTACTTTTTTCTTGAGATACTGCTTTGACTAGTACAAGTATTATTCTTGTCAATTGGGATACTTCTAGAATTTCATCATTACATAAAAAGTTTACCATTCGTTTCTCATAGATTCCCTTTATTAGGTTAAGGAAATTTTCTACTTCTAGTTTATTAAGAGCCTTACCATTAATGTGTCTTTTAATTTTATCAGTCCTTTTCTATGCAATAATTAACACAATCATATGATTTTTCTCCTTTAATCTGTTAACATAGTAATTGTCTTTATAGAATTTTATCTTAAAATTTCCTGAGAAATAGGTTATTTTGTTTATTTTTTTAATTTACTCATATTGATTATATATTATATATAGATTATATATTATCCAAATTTAAAAAAAAAAAATTTTTTTTTTATCCTCACCCGAGGATATTTTTCCATTTTTTGTACAGATAGAGTGGGAGGGAGAGAAAGAGAGAAACTTCGATGTGAAGGGACACATCGAGTGGCTGCCACCCGCACGACCAACCAGGGCCGGGGACATAAGTACGGCCGGCAACCGAAGTACGTGCCCTTAGCGGGAACCGAACCCGGATCTCTCCGGACCGCAGGCCAACACTCTAACCGCTGAGCCAAACCGGCCAGGGCTATTATCCGAATTTTAAAAAATAGTAGTTCTATTATTTTTCTTTTTAAAATTTATTTTGTTAAAGATTTACGTGTTTTATTTGTCCTTGAAAATTACCAAGTCAAGAAAATTCTTGATTTCTCATTTATCTGTCTCTTCTTATATCTTTATGAACTGCTCTTTCCTATGTGTTTATTTTATTTCTCTTTTTCTATCTTCCTGAAATTAAAATTTAGGCCACTCATTTTTTTTAAATTTTTTTTTTTTTTTTTAATCCTCACCCGAGGATATTTTTTCCATTTTTTTGTACAGCTAGAGTGGAAGGGAGAGAGAGGAAGGGAGAGAGAGAGAGAAACATCGACGTGAAGGGACACATCGAGTGGCTGCCACCCGTACGACCAACCAAGGCCGGGGACAAACTGCAACCAAAGCACGTGCCCTTAGTGGGAACCGAACCCGGGTCTCTCCGGACAGCAGGCCAACGCTCTAACCGCTGAGCAAAACTGGCCAGGGCTAGGCCACTCATTTTTTATTGTTTATATTTTCTAAACTGGCATCTAAGACTGTTTCCATTTTCCTAAGTGCCCCTTTTTCCAGCAGCCCAGAGTTCTTACGATTCATTTTCACACAGTTGGGGATTTCCATTTTGATTTGTGGGGTTTTGTTTGTTTGTTTTGTGTTTTATCCTAAAAGATTTGTGGATGTTTTAAAATTTCTACATGTGTAGGATTCTTTTGGTTATGCCAATCTTTCCAATGATTTGCTCTGTATATTTGTCTTGGGAATGTTTTTTCAGTGCTCATTTGTGGCCTAAATATAGGATCACTTTTTGTGAGTATGCTAAGAACTAATGCTTGTTAAATTTACGTTCAGATTCTCTCATCTCTATTTTTCTGTCCTTTATTTGATCATT